CAATTCCTTTCAATACAGTGACTCAGTATATTCTTTCCATCCTCTTTAAATACTTCCTGGATCATTTAATATTCTTCCTAAAGCATCCTTGATTATAGCAACTCAAGGTTTAAATTTATTCTTCAGTTCCTTAAGCTTAAGAAATGCTGAGCAAGTTCGGCCCTTAAAATCTTCATTATAGCAGTGTAAAATAAAAAACAATCTAAGGGAGCTCTGGTGGCCTAGTGGCAAGAAACTGCACTGCAATCCCAGAGGTACATGGTTCAAATCTGTCAGATCCAATTTGATGGCACACACACACACACACACACACACACATTTTTTAAAAAAACCCAAAACACAACACAACAATCTAAGGGTCTAGCAAGTAGCTGACCTGCCAGCGGGTTTTTGGAAGCTATAAATCACACAGGAGGGGACTGCCTATCTTTTTCCTTTGGAGCCACTGGTAGATTCAAACTGCAACTCTTTAACCACTAGCCCACCAGAGCCCCCTGCAATAGGGGGACATAGTCTGAATCAATTCCATATATCTGCTACATGGAATATAACACAGCTGTATAAGGAGAAGATAATTTCACATGCTGAGCTCTTAAAAATAAATTATATAGAAGAAGGAAAAAAGAGGTGGTGGTAGTGGTGATTGCCGTCCAGTTCAGTACAACTCATAGAGATTCTATGAACAAAAGACCTGAACCCTGTTCTATAACTATCATCGTTTCTTGAAGTTTATAGTTTCCACAGGCATAGGAAGTGGATGCCACTCCTTCTTAAGAAAAAAAAAAAGAGGTATATAACTGTATATTAAAAGGTACTCAATTAAACACACACATACACACACCCCCCAAAACCCAAACCATAAAAAAGGGAGATCTAAGAAAATATTTTAAAAAAATAAACACTCTAAGGGAGCTCTGGTGGTCTTGTGCCAAGAAGCTGTGTTGCAATTCCAAAGGGATTCATGGTTCAAATCCACCGGATGCTCTGCTGGAGGAGAGGCATTCTCCTCTTGTGCCAGTAGGATCAACTTGGAGGTACACAACCAGAAAAAAAACCAACAAACCCACTATAAGGACAAGTAAGGAATTAATAAATCTGGTTACTTACAGGGATAAAGTAAGCAATGAACAGAAGTAGACCATAACAGAAGTAGAAATAACTTTTCAAAGTAGTATATCTTTTCATATTATTTTACTTTTGAATAATGTAAAATATTACTAAACAAAATTTTTAATTTTAAAATATTTAAGGTCTTAAAAGAAAATATATGTTTATATAAAGACAAAATTGAAAGTTCCATTTATGATAAATGTATTATTTATTAATGTCTTAATTTATCCTTTCTTAAGAAAGTCTATTAGTTCTTAAAAATGTACAAGTATCAATTTTAGAACTATTGAGAGAAATGTTTTGACATAGGTAATATGTTTTATTTCCTTACCTGTAGAAAGCAATATTCCTGCAGTCTTTGAAAACATTTTTATCCACAGCCTCATCTTCAACACTAGAGGAAAAATATGTTTTGAGAAACTCATTTCAAGTTTTTACGTCCTTTAACTATAGTGATAATATGGAAAAGGAACCTTTACAGTCAATTCTGAAATGCAAAATTGTGGAACAGTCATAAAATAGCAGGTATTATACAAAACACCAGCTTTTATAAATAAACAGAGATAAAGAACAAAATGTAAAGTTCCGGTATTATCCTGAAAGTACTATAAAAAGACTACTGTTTCTCTCTTGAGTATTTGGTTCCAAAATTTGCACTTCATAGAGTGCCAGAGTGAACCACAACACTACAAATCTGTTTTTTTGTTTGCTGGGTTTTGTAAAAAAAAAGTTTCTTACGGTAAGTGTTTTTTGCAAAACTCAAACACTAACACCAAGAAGTTCTGACAAAGTGCTTCAAAGAGTGAGAGTTGCTGCAGTGCAGTAAATTATTGAATTAAGTCCTCCCATTTGCCTTTATTACTCTCATCAAATGACTGCATAGGGCTACGGGAAGTCTGAGGTATTTGTGGCTCACCATGGGGGATTTTAATCAGTTTGCTAATAAAGTAAATAAGGGGCTTGGTACCCTTGTGGGGTGTTGGGCCCTATCTATAAGATATAAAGAATATTAATATGGGGAATCAGTCAGATTTGCCATCCTGCTTGGTTTAAAATGAGCCACTCCAGACATGGAAAAAGAAGATCTCAATTACTATCAAAAAAAGCGCCAGGAATGGAGTATGCTCTCTGGGCCTAGATTTTTATGCTGAGAATCTCCTTGATCCAGGAGACAGGGAACTTTAACATCTTGCTCAGATAGCAGAGACAAAGAAATGGCAGCAACAGAACCAAGATCAGTGTGAGACAGACTGGTAGGCATCCTGGCCCCACAGATTGAGAAGGTAGAGCGTTTGGGTAAAATGTCTTGCTAAAGATAAGGTAAACTTTGCTGTTGTTGCTAGGGTATGAATTTATCTTGTCTTGATTGTCAAATCTCTTTAATAGATAAAGATTTTATACATTTATTCATATGTGTGTTGGCCATCTGAATTATATTTTTTGATGAAGCGTATGTTCATATCCTCTACCTATTTTGCAGAAATTATTTTTCTCAAAGAATTTTCTATGATAGTCATTAGTCAGTATATGCATGACTAAGTATGCATCTATAACTGAACTAAAAGAAAATGTTACTAAAACAGCCCAGACATACCTACTACATTAAAACACTGTTTATCATAGAAATAATCAAGACCTTCATTAAACTCCACCTTTGTCATTTTCCTTTTAAACGAGTGTATAAAAGTTAAACTTGCAAATTCCTTTTGTCTAGGTTTGATGCATGCTCTCTGGGAAAACATGAGAGGAAAAGTCAGGTACTGCTGAAACAAGGAAAACAAGCAGCATGAAATTCACGTGCTAGACTTTTATCACAGTTCTACCACTTTGCTATTTAAGCATCCTGAAAGCATTTTATGAAGGACCATGTAATCAACTCTTGTAACCAACTATCTGATTGAAATGAAGTGAGTGAAAACAATACAGATCAAATGGGAAATACAAAGCATGGGGAAAAGGAATGAGGAAACCCTTCCACACCCTTCGGTGTCATTTCCCCTCCGCCTCGGAGAGTTCTGAAGCTAGTGTCTGCAGGAGTACCGGGTCTTTACCTGATTTCTTCTTCCTTGGGTGCTTCCATGGCTCCCCAGTAGCTCCGGGAACCACTTCTCTTCCCTCAGGCCAAATCAGTCTCCTTAAAGCCCCAACCGGTGCCTTTCTAAATGATAATTAAAATTTCACCACTGGCGAGTTTCTAGAAGTGGTATCTCCCTCTAAATTCTTCCGAGACGAATCTTGCTTCCCACTCCAGATGCTTCTAGGCCCAAACTAACGTGTCTGCACAGCAATTTTTTAGTGGTTATCGACTGGTGAGGAAATGTGCTTTCAAACTACGTTGTTTCAGAACGGAAACTGTCTTTGCGGTGGAGGCGGCATGTACCCAATCAGCGCTAGTGAGAACTATGACTCACGGAAGGTAAAACCGTGTCCTAGTTTTGGGTGCAAACCTTCTGCAGGTTTACCTATTTGACGACACTGATAACGGAAACAAATACCCTAATTCCTGTGTTTTAGTTTTGCTTTTGATACTGCCGGCCAAGTTATTACTGGAGGCTGATCGTCTCCGGCTAAACTTCGCATACTTCGCGGAGCTTTCAAGGGGCTCTGAAAGATCACCATATAGTGCAGGAATCCCTTCTACCCCACCTTTGCCAAATTTCAGGCTTTGAGTAAATATTTCCCAGAGTTTTCCAGACTCCAATCAGGTAACAAGACAAGACTATCCCAGATTCCTGGTCTGTGTATTAGATTTAGTAAGGATGAGTACGAGGCGGGAGAGGAAAGCTAAACGGTGTTAACAGAGTGTCTGCTTGGTCTCCAACCCCTATGAGACCAGGAGAGAGAAGAGCAGACCACAGTGGCAGTGCCTTTCGGATATTACCCTAATGCTACAGAGGCCAAGTTACAACAGCACGACACAGCACCAGAACGCAGTGACGACAGCCCGAGGGAGGTGCCGGCAGGTCACAAAACAAACAAGCCCCGCGAGGTTTTGAGAGCCCGGATGATCCCACCCCCAAAGCGAAGCCGGAAGAAGGAGGGACTGACCGGAAGAAGGTGAAATGCTGTCGGTAGACCCTCCATGGTTGTGAAGATGGCTGCGACTGCGTGGCTGCAGGTGCTGCCTGTCATTCTTCTTCTCCTGGGGGCTCAGCCATCTCCGTTGTCATTTTTCGGAATAGGCCTGGCACCCGTAACTGCCGCCGACCGATCGAAGTGGCACATTCCGATTCCACCGGTGAGTGTTCACTTCAATAGTGAATGAACCCAGTGGAACAAGGGGGTGGGGCTACGGTGGCCCGAGGGGTCCATGAATGGTCTGTGAAAGTCCGTTTTTCTAAAAGAAATGGGGTTGCTGCGAGCATCAGTGTTTGTTGCTGGCCAGAGGGAACTCACCTCCCTGGAGCAGAAAACCGCTCATTTCTTTGGATGGACTAGTCAGAAAATGTCAGGGTGACTTCGGGAGTGGGAAGAGGTGGTGGGAGATTTTCTGTCTGGAAAGTAAAACTCTTACTGCTTGACTTAGGTTCTATAAAGTTGATGTGCTGTGGCACAATGATTTCTTATAGTTGAAATTTCACAGAATTCAGTGACTCCTGGTTAGTTGAGAGTGATAAATATATAGGAATGGTCTTTTCAGTTTAGTTGTGCTTCCCTCTAATTTTTTATAATGCTCTCTACGAAGTTGTTTGAGTTCATTCACACATGGAAGTGGTTATTCTAAGCTTTACTGTGTAATTCGAATGCCTAAACCTCTTTTGCATGTGTTTTAACATGTGGTTGGTGTGGTGTGCAGTTGAGTCGGAACCGATTCATGATCCGTAGCTGACCCTCCAGCATTTTCAGCGGCAGTAAATCGCCTGGAAGAGTGCCCATCCTTCTCCTGCACAGCAGCTGGTGGATTCGAATCCCTTGCTTTGGGATTGCAGCACAGCTTCTTGTTACCAGAGCTCCCTGTATTTTAACATATGAATGGATAAAATAGAAGGAATAACATTCTGAAATTTAATGTGGTAGGGCTGGTCTTTCACTGGGCACCTTACTAGCTAGATGAATCTTCTCTGACCTCTTCCCTCCATTTAAACTTTATTGGAATAAGATAAGCAGACAAGAACCAGATGCAAGCAGGAAATGCTGAAAAGCATTAGTCTTGTAGAAACCTATTGGCCTTTGAATTTCGTTCAGATTTGTTCATGAATTTAAATATCAAAGCCTTATTTGACATTTTATATGTCAAGCTTTATAGGTTTTACTCATTTATGACAGTCGTCAGATTCTCAATTTTGGTTTTTATATTTTGATATTAAAATGACTAAGAGATCCTTTTAGATTAAAAAGAACTATATGCTTATAGAAGATACCATTTGGAATAGTAATTGGTCATTCTAGGCAGTGATCAGTAAGCATAGGGAATGAACTGATCAAGGAGTCCTCCTTTATGCTTGTTCATGGACGTTTTTAGAGGCCTGTTGGGAGCTCTGCTGAAGCTCGTCTATTGTGAGTGACCCTCCTAGCATTTGAAATACCAGTGACATAGCTTCCATCATAGCAACCCATAAGTTAGTTACGCCAGTACAGCAGACTGACAGATAAATTCTAAGACCCCTTACCACTGGGCCAATAGGCAATATCATGAGAGAGAAAAGATTGAAATTGCCAATAGTTTCATCTTGCTTGGGTCCGCAGTCAACATTCTTGGTTCCAGTAGTAAAGAAATCAAAAGGCATTGAGTTGGAAAAGCCTACTATCAGGGACCTCTCCAAAGTACAGAGGAGCAATGATGTAAGTTTGAAGACTAAGGTCTGGTATAGAGGCAGGTGTGCCTTGGAGCCACCCTACCAGAGGAGAGCTCGCAGCATGGAGAGGCAGTCGCTACTTCCACTGAGTTTAAGTACAGGGTGCTACCATGACCTACTTCAAGCAAGAAGGAAAAAATTTAATCATATTTGTGATGAATGATTATGAAACTCCAAGCAATGCCGAGCTGGTGGCTAATGACCCAATGATCTATACGAGGAGCATGGATTGATATTGCCAAACAGAGACATTAACTGGAAACGTCTTCCCCTTAGAGGAATAGCCAGTGGCTCCTGTGGGGAGCAGTTCAGGTCAGTAGTCTCTGCTACTGCTGTAGCCCAGAGAATGTCACGGGGTCAGTTCTGGGCCATGCAGAAATGCATGCAGAAATACCCAGACCTCTATCCCCAGGATGATAAGGATGACAATGATGAAAAGACGCCAGAAGGTTTAGAGGAAATGGCTACTGCAGCCAAAAAAGAGGAGAGCTCAAGGTAATGAATGTCAGGAATCCTGTGCTCAAGTCCTCCCATTTTAGATTGATGCAGACATATTACAAAATAACTTTCAGTTGCTTCAGACAAAGTGTTTTGCCTTCTTTTGTTCTTTGTACTGTAATGTAAAGAGTAACATTTTGAGGATCAATGGTCTTGGCTTTTTTACAGATAAAACAGAGAAAAAAAACCCAACCCAAACAAATGAGTGGTTATGTATATGATCCCATGTAAACCTGTCTAAATATAACTGCCACTTTTAAATTCTTGCTTGCCAGATTGCCCTGGATTTTACAAGTTTGAAATAATATTCTGAATATTCTCAGCAACCAAAGGGGGGGAAAATGATTAAGGTCTACCTGACTTTGTCCGTAGTCTTTTCAATTACTTGCTATGCCTCTGAGAGCTGGACAGTGACTAAGGATAGTAGGAGAAGAATCAGTGTCTTTGACTTGTGTTGTTGTAATTGTTATGTGCCATCAAGTCGCTTGCAACTCATAATGATCCTGTGTACAATATCTCTGAACCCTGCCCTGTCCTGAGCCAGTCTCATTGACTCTAACACACCTACTCCCGTTGCCCAGTTACCATGTCAGTCCATCTCATCCAGAGTCTTCCTCTCCTGAGCCATACCTCCACTCTTCTAAACATGATGTCCTTGTCCAAGAACAAACATAAATGTTGGGGAAAGTGGAGTCAGTGCTCCTTAGAGGCAAGAAGGCAAAGTATTGTTTCATATATTTTGATCATATTGTTAGGAAGAGGGGCTTTTCCTTGGAAAGCGAGCTCTGGTGGCCTAGGAACTCCACTGCTTCCCCAAAGGCACAAGGTTTGAATTCACCAACTGCTTTGAAAAGGAAAGATGGAGAGTCTCTTATGTGATTTACTGCCTCTGAAAACCTGCTGGATAGTGAGTTTTGAGTTGGTTCCAACTCCATCATACATTAACTCCACCACCACCACCACCACCACCATTCCACGGAAAAGGGAAAGGTCAGTGAAAGAGGAAGACCTTCAACAAGATTGATTGACGCAGTGACTATAATAATGTGTTCAAGTCTGTCAGAGATGATGAAGATGGGACAGGATAGGACAGGATTCAGGTCTATTCTTGAGGTTGTACTGTGAGTTATACCTTGACTGCTTGACAGCTAATGACACCCCCCCCCCCAATGATTTATGGCATCTTCTCTTCTAGAAATTGTCCTTTCTTGTGGGGAAAAAGAAAATCAAGTCTGTGTATCCAGGCGCAAAGTCCTGTAGATTGTATATAGTTGAATTTTATTGAAAGGAGATGCATTGAAATAAATCTTTTGTTGTTGCTGTTGCTGTTGTTGTGTACCGTTGAATTGGATCCGACTGGCACAGGAGGAGATTGTTGCTCCTTCTTCATCGGAGCATCTGGAGGATTCAAACTGCATGCCTTTGGGTTTGCAGCACAGCTTTTTTCCAGTAGGCCACTAGAGCTCCCCGATGTAAATATTTTTGTTAATATGAATTTTAATATTTTACAGATTTAGGTTTTAATGCCAAATACGTATGTGAGTAGCTGCTAACCCAAATGTTGATCTGCCATTGGTTTGAATCTACCAGTGGCTCGTGGGGAGAAAGATGCGCAGTCTCCTCCTATTGCCATTTACAGTCTTTGAAATCCCACAGGATTGCTGAGTCAGCACTTAATGGACAGCAGTGATTTGGTGTGATGTTTGGCCTTGAGAGTTAATGATTTGATGCTAATTATTTTTCTTTGCTTTATCTTTGCAGGGGGAATATTATTTTAGTTTTGGAA